AAGACAGGCAAACAACTTGGGGCAAGTAAGAGACCCAGAGCCACAGCAGCAGCCCAAGCCCTCAGCTAAGAGCTAGAGCTGGCTTCACCAACCTGTCCTGCAAACTTTGCCCCACTGGTCTGTCCCTGAAACTCACTTCCTGCAGTCCCTCTGCAAACGCTGTATTTCTTCTGTGGTCCGCCAAGGGCCCCAGTCATCCTGATCCACATACTGACTCTCCAGTGTCTCTGTGTCCCTGGGGAGGTAAGCGTCAGACCTCAGGGCTTGGAGGCCAGCTGCGTGTCCCCAGCCTGAGACCCAGCCCCATCAGTCACAGGTGGACTTTCCTGCTGTTCAGCCCAAAGCTTGATCCTAGCCCAGGTTTGAATGGTCTTGGGTGGGGCTTGCCTTTCAAGTCCCTCAAGCAATACCCACTCAGACACACCATTCAGGCAGCCTTACGTCTCATCGTCTTTGGGCTCAGGAGTGTTCAGGAGTGTGAACAGGAATGTGACAGTGGGTTCTGACTGCTCATCCAAGGTTGGCTCTGAAGATGGCTTTGCAGAGAAGGTGCCTTGGTAACTGAAATGGCATGAGGCTTCCAACCCAAGAGCCCAGCCCTCCTTCCCCTTCTTGCTTTCTCCACCTCTCTTTTCTACAGGGATTTGATCTCTGTACCCCTCGTCTTCTGGGGAAGAAGCAGTGGAAAGGACAATGACTGAGATTTGTTTCCCAGAGGAGGCCCTCCAGCTACTGAAGGACCCAAGATGCCCCACAGCAGGGAGTCTGAGGATCAGGGATACAGGTCTTGGCCCAGGCTAAGGAAGAATTTCTGCAGCCTGTCTTATCTCCCTTGTCTTCTGCCTTAGGGTCAACAGTAGATGGGGGAGCTCCCAGGGCTTTGCTGTCACCTCCACATCAGGCTCCCTGGAGTCCTTAGGTTCTTCTGGCTGTGGTTCAGCAGGCTGCATGGCTGTTTTCAAGACCTGCTTGGAGTGGGCACTCTGCCTGCCTGTGGAAGACTGAAGGAGACACAGACCTGGTTGGTGACCCACTTCCCCCATCTCATTTGCTTGCCTTTTCTAACAAGCTTGGTTTCCTTGGGATAGCAATTGGCCTCAGTAGTAATGGTCTAGAGCCCATTACCAGCAATATTCAGCAAGCCACAGCCCCCAGAGCTGGTGTTGCCAGACCAAAGCCCAGCCCAGATGGTAAGGGCCTCAGCAAGTAAAATACGGGATGCCCAGTGTTGATGGTTAATATTGTCACCTTGACAATCTACAGTCTCCTAGGAGACAAATTTCCTGGCATGCCTGTGAAGAAGTTCCTAGAGTAGGTTAACCGAGGAGGAGGAGCCCTGTTGGAGGATACTCTGTTCCATGGGCTGGTGTCCCGCACAGAATGAAAAGCAGAAAGAGAACTGAGCACCGGCACTCATCTCTCCCTGCATTTCAGTGCTATGTGAACAGATTCCTCAAGGCCTGCTGCCATTGCTCCTTGGGTGAAGGACTATACCCTCCGACTGTGAGCCAAGATAAACCCTTCATTACTGAGCTGTTTTGTTATAAGAAAAAAAAAGGAATCAATACACCCAGTTTCCAGTGTTTAAAAAATCTTTATTACCACTGTGAGCGAGTGCAGGTGCATGCATGTATGGTTAATGTGTGAAGATCAGAAGACAAATTTTCAGGAATCGGTTCTTTTCTTCCACTCTTGACTTCAAGGAACAAACTTGGGGTTGTAAGGCTTGTTCAGTTGAGGTTTTTACACTTTGAGTCATCTCCAGAGTCCACAACCATCTCCAGGGTGTAAATTAATTTACACCTCAAAAGTGAGTATTTTAGACACAGTTGTAGTCTTAGTGAAGGCAGGAGAATAAAGAATTTAAGGCCACCTTTCAGGTAAATAACAGCATAAAGGCCAGCTTGGGTTACATGAAATACTATCTGGAAAAACAGAAAACAAACACAGGAAACAAAGTGTTGGAACAAAAGGGCTCAAGCGCCGTCTCTGCCTTGTTCCTCAGTGCCCACCTGACACTGCAAATGGAGGTGATTCCCCACTCATACAACAGTGGAGTTCCCTTAAATATTATCACCTCCTCCTCCTCTCTCCCAGCCCTGGTGGGGTTTTTTGGATGGTTGGTTTTTTGGTTTTGCTTTTTTGAAGGGAGGTACCTGACAAAATTCTGCTCACCTGAAACTTTGGTATAAATCACCAGATGAAATACAGGACATTTGCAAGGTGGTGGCTGTTTACACTTTTAATCAGGAGGTGGAGGCAGGTAGATCTCTGAGTTCAAGGCCAGCCTGGTCTACTGAGTTGAGTTCCAGCGCAGCCAGGGGTACACAGAAACCTTGTCTCAAAAAACAGAAAGAAATGAAGGCAGGCAGGCAGACAGACAGGGCATTTTAGTTTCAGATATTGAATCATTTCATGTAAGTGGTACTGGAGACAAAACCCAAAGGCCCATGTGTTTTGGCCTTTGATTAGGCAATCTACCTCTGAGCTCCAGCCCCAGAAAGATTTCCTAGCACATAAACACATCCCAAACGTACAACAGTGCAGGCAGGGGTACACTTACACTAAAAAGGTTTGTCTTTGTTCTTGTCTTTGAGAAAGTCTAGTGTAGCCCAGGCTGATCTTGAACTCATCACACAGTGGAGCGCAGCTTAGAGCTCCTGCTCCCTCCGCCCCACAAGAGCAGGACTGCAGATATGCACCAGCACAGCTGGCTGACGTTGTTTTCAACCTCACATAATTTTCTCGCTCAGAACAAGGCTTCTTTGTAATATCATTGCAAATTTGTCCCCAGTACTCTGTGGTTTTCCATTAATGTTCCTACAAGTTTCCTGTCCACTCTGCCAACTTATTCTGCACACTTTTCTCTGCTGAGCAAACATCTCTCCCTGAAGACCCTGTCTATGGTAGTGGGCTTATTACTCTGAGGGTGTTTCCTACTCTCAGTGTAGCATAGGTGTCCTGTCTATTGGGATGGAAATAAAGCATCTCAAGTCAGTCTGAAGCTACCTGTTCTCTCAAGATCTGGCTGATCTCTCAAGAACATCAACAACACAAAAGAGGGGCCAATGCCAGGTCCTTACAAGACCAAGCTCCAATCAGTATCCAGCTATTGTTTTTGTTTTTCGAAGACAGAATTTCTCTATGTAGCCTTGAACTCAGAAATCTGCCTGCCTTTATCTCTCAAGTGCTGGGATTAAAGGCATGCACTACCATGGTCTGGGTGTTTTTGTTTTTTTGTTTTTAAATAAGACAGGGTTTCCTTACATAGCTCTGCCTGACCTGGAACTAAGAAGACTAACTAGGCTGTCCTGGGACCTAGAGACCCACTTGCCTCTGCTTCCCTAGTGTTGGGATTAAAGGTGTGTACCACCACATCTGGCCAGTGTCATTTTAAATTATGACAATGCAGATGTACTTTAAGCATGCAACATGTTGGTGGGGTAAAGGAGAGATGACTCAGTGAATAAAGTGCTTACTGTGCAAGCACGAGGATCCGCGTTCAGGTCCCCAGCACAAACCTAGAAGCCAGATGTGGTAGCATGTTATCTGTAACCCTAGAGCTGGGGAAGAGGTAATAGCTAAGACGGTATTCTAGGTTTAGCAAGAGCTTTGGAGAAAACATAATGGCCTAGGTTTACCAGAGAATGAGCTAGACATGTCTACACAACAGACCCAGGAGTCCCATATCTTTGGTCAGCTTCTCAGGGAAGCCATAGCCTAGCAGCTGGGTAACATCCAGGAGGGGCTATTATACCCAGGCCACAGGCTCCTCCATTGAATGGGCTAGCTGTAGTTAATTCCCTACGCCTCCCCTGGGAAAGCGTGCTCAGCGTGTATAAGTGAGATAGCCCACACACATGGCACCTAGGGCTTCATAGCAGTAGCTCTATCTCCAACCAAATAAAAAGCCATCTACAAACAGGAAGAAACTTTAAAAAGGTTTATTTGAAATTAAGTCACCTTTCCCTTAAGGCTGCATATTAGATCCTCAATGGCAGATAGGTCTGTAGTGATGGTAGCAATTCAGCATGATCCAGTCGAGGTCCACAGACTAGGCGAGGACAAATCCTGCAGGGGTGTTCCACTAAAGCCATCCTGGTATAACAGGTGCTTACTTGAGTTCTCATTTGTGGCAGATTTTATTCCCATGAACTTGTAAACGTTGGAATTCCAATAGCCTTTAAACCATAGCTTTTACCATAACTGAGAGGTGGTAGGCAGGAAGGAACCTCAGAAACCATGATACATCCATTTTTGTTCCCAGCAAGCCCCTGGGAACAGTCTCAATAGTTTTAAGCTCACAGCCAAAGCTGCCGTCAGTCTAGCACGTCAGAGACGTTGTGACATGTCCAGAGCTGAGACCATGCAGCAGCTTGTGTTTAAAGAGACAGGTGTGGGTGAGGAAAGGGGTCAAAGCAGAGACTGTAAACCTTACAACGGTGCATCTGAGGCCCACGCTGTCAAGTGTATCCACTCCACTGTAAGCGGAGTACCCCATTCACCAATGTCAACAGCAGGGCACAGACAAGGACTAGTTCCCACATAACAGTCACTGTGTTAAAAACCATCTATGCCTCCCTCCTCCTTTCACATCCCAGACTCCACAGACTCAATGTCTAGATCCTCTCTCAAGCATCAACTGTCTCCCCGGCCTTTGCGTTCTCTCAACCCTAAAAACTCCAAAGCAGAAAACAAAACCTCTTTAGGTTGGTGTCTGGACGCAATAGCAGAGACAGCCCATGGCTAAACCTGTTTCTAAAAGTTCTGGTTCACAGCACAAGTGGCTTCTCATCCAACACTGCAGAGGTAGAAAGTCCAGGGTAACTAGACACAAGGGGCCAGCAACACCTTTCTGGGTAATAAGGCTAGTGAAGAGGATTCTATATATCCTGCTCTACTCAAAGGGCAATATGTACAGGAAGAGGGGAGAAGCAGCCAGTCCATCCCATTCAGTGATTGGCATCCCACACAGTCCATCCCATTCAGTGATTGGCATCCCACCCAGTCCATCCCATT